GAGTTGACAAACTCCACAAGAGGGGAGGGAGATGAGGCGAGGTCATTAAAAGACCTGGAAAAAAAACAGTGAGAGTTTTTAGGTCTGAAGAACGCACGGCTGTGAAGACATTTAGATTCTGAAGATGAAACAATAATAGAGCTATTAGATAAAAATTAAGACTGAAGTTATATGTGTTGTAGTAATGATTATCTGTTTCACTAATTGTTTTGTTTAATCACAGTCACTTTTAAAGCAGTGATTCGCCGCAGAATAGAATGTTTTTACTGTAGACATTAAAACTGAGTTTAAAAAAAAGTTTTTGAATTCTGAGTTTAATCTTGTGATTTTGAACAAAATTGTGGATTCTTCAATTTGAGTTAGAATTGTAGAACACTAGTCTGAACTTTGAAAATAAAGTCAGGATTTTAAGATTAGAATAGTAAAGATATGAGAATAATAATAATAATAATAATAAAAACCAAGTGAGATTTAAATGGAAACCAAAGTGGAATAATGTGAATAATATTATCACAGTTGGTGTGCTGTTAATACATTTTAAATATATATGTATAAAAAATAGTGGGCAAAGACATTTATGATGTAAAACCACAGCTGTATGTAATAACATCTGATCTTTTAAATCTGCAGCCACCAGCTAGCACAAATCATTAACAAAGGACAAACTCTCATGACCAAAGTATACAGAGAGAAAATAACAGAAAAACATAAAAAATAAACAGCGCTTTGATAAATGAAGATGATAAATGTTAAAGCGTCCTAGCCTCATATTTACACAAAGCAGTGGAGAAGTAGAACTGCATGCTCAGTACATGTTGGAACATTGCTAATTCACCAATTACTAGCACTAATTGCTGCCTCCCGAGGAGAGGTTAAGGAGACGAGGCAGCGTCTCCCTGGGTGCTGCTGACTGGCCTGCCGCCAACATGCCATCCATCCTGGAGCCTAATCGAGTTATCATATCAACAAATCTCTCATCAGGGGCCCCTGCGGCTGACACTCCCAAAAAGACACCCAGAGGGGGACAACAAATTTTTTAGCAGCAGGACACTGGGGAAGAAGTTGCCCTGTCAGGCAGCCATGAAAGCTACCTGCAGCTCTTGGTCATCATCTCCCTCTGGGGTTCGCAGTTAAACCGGACACTTCATCTCCAGCAGCCTCTCTCTGCAGCCTGGGAATGCCTCTGCAGGGAATGGGAATGCACATTATTTAGGGCAGCTGACAATAGCTGAGAGAAGGGCCACAATGCGGCTTCTTGCGGTGCTGCGACAGGAAAGCGGCGACTGCTGACCCCCTGTGGTGGAGGTGCAAGAGGACAGGAGGTCAGGGTTTAAGAGACACGCTGGCCTCGCTCAGGGAGAGGGTTAATGTACTAATCTGAGGTCAGAGATGAGGCTCGACTCTCGTACATCATCGGTGACAGCAACAATCAGTGATGACTACCAGCGCCAATCCATTCAGTCATAAACGCTGCACACCGGTGCTATAAACACAGCTGTAAGAGAGTGTGTCCAGGAAAGGGCACTTCTGTGGATTCCTCTGAGTAAATCACTTTAACAGCTGATAAAACAGAAAAAAAAAACATTAACAAAACTACTCTTAACTGCTGCAAAAAAGACCATGTTGATTCTTTCTTCACATACATCAGGAATGTTACATCAGCTCAGCCCTGATCTAATGATATAGTGCTGGCAACTTTCACTCTTAAACAGGCAGACACCAGGGGAAAGCAATGAATTAGGAACGCCACAAGTGAAGCAAAGCTGGAGCTGATAACGAACGCCCGTGAGCTTCAGTCATTTGATATTCATAACATAACATAACATAACATAACATAACATAACATAACATAACATAACATAACATAACATAACAGTTTCCCACAAACAAAGACAAGATCAAATGTCAATAACATAACATAACATAACATAACAAAGACAAGATCAAATGTTGTGTTAGGTACCAAAGGTTGTGACTTTTTATTTTATTTTTTCTTCAAATCTACAGCTAGGAGTTAAGAATCTTTTAGTCTAACATAAAACATAAAACTTTAGTCTTTAGATACTTTGATGTAAGTCCAAATACTTTCACTTTCCCTGAGTAATTCTTTGTGCTTCACTCGTCAGAGAGTGAAATAAAACATTTTTTTTCAGTTTCCCCAAATCCATATTTGAAAGGTTATTTCACAGCCAGCACACCTGTCCTGTAATAAACAAAGCTTACGTTTGTGCATGGAGCGCTGACGGTGCATGAAGGCATGAGAACAGGCGTCCTCTGGATGCACGGAGGTTGATGAGATAAGGCAGGAGGGGAGGGAGATGGCTCAGCAGCGATCCAAGTGCTTGACACCATCTCTCACCGTCCTTTTTGTTTCCGGGAGCACACTTACATATCCACACATGCACAGTCAAACCGATGCCAGCACACACACACACACGCACACAAGCCCATAACGTCGGGCCTGCATCAACAATGCCGATAGCTGAGATGTGATCAGAGGTTTTTGTTTTGAGTCTGAGATAAGATTGTTATCACGCTGAAGTGCAGAGATTTGGCATTTAAACGGCAGATAAGCCCCAGCTCTGCCTTCCTCTTCCTCTTCTACTTCATTTATTTCTTTTTCTTTTTCTAAATTATTTCACGAGCTCATTAATTGAATTATCTATTCATGGGGAAATGGGCAGAGTGCCTGAATTAGCCGCTCTGCTCTGCCACCTCTCTACATCAAGAGCCTCCTAAACGTTAACTTGACTGGTTTCCATTGGA